AGGCCTTCTCAGCTGATCTGGACAAGAACCGGTTTAGGGCCGCCAGGCGCCCCGTCAATCTCTGGACATCCCTTACCGAGGTTGGGGGTTGCATCTCAACAATGGCCTTGATCTTCTCAGGATTTGGCTCAATCCCCCTCTTCGTGACCATGAACCCCAAGAACTTCCCCGTCCTCACAGCAAAAACACACTTCTTCGGATTAAGTCTAAGATTATGCCTAGCCATAATCTCAAAACATTTTTCCAGGTCTTGAGCGTGTGTGTTGGCTGTCCTGCTTTTCACCAGCATATCATCGACATAGGCCTCCATGGTCCGTCCAAGTAAAGGCCTGAACAATTTGTTGACCATTCTCTGGTAGGTCGCCCCTGAGTTTTTCAACCCAAAGGCCATCACCTTGTAACAGTATGTCCCATCCGGAGTGAGGAAGGCCGTCTTTTCCTCGTCATCTTCCGCCATGAAGATCTGATGATACCCTTTAAAGGCATCCATGAAACTTAGCAGCTCACACCCGGCGGTTTTGTCAACCATTTGGTCCGGGCTAGGGAGAGGATAAGAATCCATTGGGCATGCCTTGTTGAGGTCTGTGTAATCTACGCACATCCTCCAGGTATCACCCTTCGGAGCCAGGACTACATTGGCCAGCCATTCAGGGTAGTTTACTTCCCTGATATGACCTACCTCAAGTAGGTCCTTAACCTCCTTCTTTACAAAATCTCTCCTATCACTTGCCAAGAATCTCTTCTTCTGTCTTACAGGCCTAGACCCCTCAAGAACAGAGAGACGATGGCAAATGACTGACCGGTCAATTCCGGGCATATCAGCAACACTCCAGGCAAACAAAGATTTATACCTGGTCAGCACCTGGACAACCTCAGTCCTTAGCTCTCCCTGAAGATCAGCCCCAATTTTGACCTTCCTCTCAGGATTGGAGGCATCAATCTGGATCTCCTCCGTGTTTGCATCCGGCTCAATCCTAGCCTTCTCCTCTCCCTTGTCTACTTGCTGGGAGACCAAATCAATTTGTTCGAATTGGCGGGTCATTTTCTTGACTGCTTCCAAGTAGCAGGACCGGGCGTTCTTTTGATCACCCCTTTCCTCCCCGATTCCATTGGGAGTGTAAAACTTCATGCATAAGTGTGCCATGGAAATAATAGCCCTGACCTGGTTGATCCCAGGCCTACCCAGAATGGCATTATGCACACACTTGATGTCGACCACAACAAATCTCATTTGTTT